GCCTCTCCCGCCGCCGTGCTTGGGTTATGGGTCATAGGCCTCTTAGGATGTTCGTTGGGATGTCGCAGGGGGCCTCTCGGGGGCCTCTTGGGGCCGTCTGGAGGCCTCTTGGGACCGTCTGAGGGCCCTCTTGGGCAAGCTGCGCTGCACCGGGGAATCCAAGAGATTCATCCAATGGGAATTCCCCTGGGGATTCCCCGGGAATCTCCGGGAACACCAAGGAATTCCTGGGAATCCGTTGGATCTGGAAATCCCCCCGGGAATCCGTGTGAAACCGGTGATCTGGGCCCTTCAAGCCTTGCAACTCTTTATCTCTCAGGACGGCGTGAGCCTTGGAGCATTCCACTATGTGCTCAAGGCACTGTGGCGGATAAGCGGTGTGGCTCCTCCAGCGGAAGCTGGCGGAAGGCTGGCGGAAGCAGAGGTAAACATCTGCCCTCCAAGAGATGGATACTTTTATTTCATCGCTTCGCTCAGTCCTCAGGCCCATCTTGCATCACTGGTGCTATATGTTTGTGTGTTCGCGGCGAGCGAAAAGGAGGATGAGGAGGAGGAAGAGGGGTGGATGAGGATGAGGAGGTGGTCTCTGGAGGGCTTCTTGTGTCCGTTTGCGGCGAAATTGGTCATGGACAAGGCGCCTCTTGAAGTGTTGCTTGGGGTCTTCTGGGAGGCTTTCGAGGGCCTCGTGGCGGCATGTTTGTGACATCTTGGGTGTCTTGTGGGAGCCTCTCGGGGCCTCTTGGGGCTTCTGGTGGGCCTCATGGGGGCCATCTGGGGCCTCCTGGTGGCCTCTCGGGACCGAGATCTCGAAATGTCCATTCGGGTCCCTCGTGAAGGCCCGCGCTTGGAGCGGTCTGGAGGGAACCTTGGGCGTTTGGACCGGTTGTTTTACGACCCGGAGTATCTTGGACCGTCTGGGGGGCTCGATGCAGTCCTTGTGGAGCGCTCTGGGGGGCTTGAAAGGGCGCGTTCAGTAGGGAAACCATTTCTGATCCGAACATCCCGGGGACCGTCCAGAGACCTCCCAGTAACTAGAAGTAGAGCTAGAACTAGAACTATGACTTATTGTAGCGCTTTTTGTTCGAGGACTGAGGTTCGTTGACGGAGAGGGAAGGAAGACGGAAGGGTTGGTGAGACGATAGGAGGCCTCTCGGGGGCCTCTTGGCGGTATTTCTGGGACCTCCTGTGGCGTCACGGGGGCGTCTCGGGGGCCTTTTGGGGGTGTCTTGGGGCCTCTCGGGGTCCTTTTGGGGGATTCTTGGGGGCCTGTTGGGGCCTCCAGGGGACCTCTCTGATTCTAGAGCTCGAAATGCCCGTTCGGGTTCCCCGTCTGGGCCCGCTCTTGGAGCCGTCTTGGGAGCCTCTTCGGCCATCTTGGAGGCCTCTGGGGCTGTCTTGGGGCCCTCTGGGGCCGTGTTGGGAGCTCTTGGAGGCCTCTTGGGTCGTGTTGGGGTGATCCTGGAAGCTTCTTGAGCCGTCTTGGAGCTCTGGAAGGCCGAAAAGGCGAGAACGCCCAAAGCCTTCAAAAACTGACGGAAAATCACTAACTTCTGCCTCTGTGGGCCCACTTGGGAGGTCTCTTGGAGGCCTCTTGGGGCGTCTTGAAGGCGCTTTGGGCTGTCTGGAGGCTATCTTTGGCGTCTTGGATCGCTCTTGGACCGTCTCGGACCATGCTGAGCTCTCTTGGAGGCCACTTGGAGCGCTCCTGGAGCGCTTTTGGGAGCCTGCTGGGACCTGGCCGGGACCTGGTCGAGACTTGCCTGGGACCTGCCAGCGACCTTGCCGTTCTTTTTTTCGTCCGGGGACCCTCAGGGGCGGCCCCGCGCGCGCGAACTAGAAATGCATACTGTTAACCAGTTGCCAGAGATCTTAGCACGCCCTTGGCCCGTTGACGCTTCTATTTCGGTGGATACAAGTGAGGCAGAGACAAAGAGCAGATCAAAGTACACGGATCATTGATCTGGAAGCAGAAAGATCACATCGGTATGCACACGAACCGCGGTCGATCACAGCGGGGGAGATGATGGCAGCATGCGCAATTTGATGAGGCTCAGTGGTGGAATATGCGTCCGCGGCAAGATTGTTTTCTTCAAGACTTGATTGGAGCGATCTGTTGATTATGGACATGCGGTGAGTCCATCAGCGAAGACAGCCCACTGCAGTCGTCTGTTTCCGCACACAGCAAGCTGCGTACATGTGCAGGTCGCAGGCGGTTCTCTGGCGGGTCGTTTGCAGAGGTCGGGCACAACGACAGGGACTGCGCGGACCCGATGCCCCCCCCATCCCCTTTCAACCTCTCGGTCAGGGACAGCGTGAGACCATTGGTTCTCGTCCTTTCCCTCTCATGCGCAGGCTTTGATCCACCCCCCACCTCCAGGGCGGGTGTGCAGGTGGTCGCTATCACGTGCTTGTTGGGACCATCGGGTGCAGATGCTGCAAATGCATCGGATCCGCATCCGCATCAGGACGTTTGTTTGCTTTGCACCCTTCGCTTTTCTTATCCGTATGTAAAGGTGAGCTCTCGTCACGAGCAGTCCATCGCCGCTTCGTGGGACAAATCGGTACGAGACCGAAAGAAGCATCAATGACTGTGTCATGTCGACAGTCTTGCGTCTACGTGTTGGTTCACATTCTCGGCAGCACAGCTTCGAGCCTACCTACCATACAGTGGACGTCCAGATCACAGGGGCTACTTAGGATGCCCGTTGATGGTTGATGCGCAATCACACAAGCTGCCTACGTGTTCGCATGCATGAGGACATCTCGGCCCCCCAGCAGCCGGCACAACGCCTTGTTCACACGCGCGTTGCAACAAGACACAGTTATCCACATCACGCGTGGCCACGATACATGTGCTTTCGCTGTTGGAGGAGCTCCGTTGCATGACCAGTTGCTATTTGGGCACGTGCAGCCGTACTTGATTTGCCTGTCCATGCTCCAAGCTTGGTTCTGATTAGCTTTGCAGTTTTCGTCGTATGCATCACGCTATCTGCTCCGCGCGACGCCGAACGAGTGACATGGCTTTTGCGTTCCCAGGGTAGTACCATTGCCCTTCTGATATCCAGCTGCCGGCGGCAAACCCCGCTAGCGTGCCAGCGCAGCAGTGCAACAGGACGGAGGTCGAGTTTCAGACCTGGTCCAGTTCGGAGTGGGTCGTTTCTGGGGCAGACGGAGGAGAAGGATGAGGAGAGAATGATGATTGCTTTGTTTCCTCCCCCTCCCGCGGAGGAGGTGCTGTTTTTTCCCCTGGAGGCGCGCTTAGAAAAATGCATCGTTTCTCACGCAGGGTGTGATCCCGCGGTTCAAGATAGACGGCAAACCGGAAGTCTCGCTCAGCAGCAAGGAGGGCCGCTCGCTCCGGCGCATGATGTTGCCGTGCCAGCAAGTACGGGTAATTAAGGAGAAAAGGACGCTGCCCATTCTGTTCCCTCTCTCTCCCGCCCCTCAGGAGGTGGAGAATGTGAAGGTGGAGAGGGGAGTAGGAGAAGGAGACCAGAGAAGGGGCGGCTGAGCATCACCAGTGGCGCCCAGGTGCCGAACGGTGTTGGGAACCTCAGGTCTAAGGATAGCCGGGTTGGGCATGTAATGGGGGCTGGTGCACGAGCTTCGAAAGCGGTGGGGGATGATGAGGGCAGGACATTAACTTGGGCTGGGTTAGCTGGACGTGCCGTGATACGCAGGCGGCTTTGTCGGAAGGAAAGGAGGAGGAGGACAAGGAGGATGGGATGAGGAAGGAGTGGAGGAGGCGGAGGCGGATGAGAAGATTGTCCCTACTCTTGGTGAACACCCTCTGGCGTCTAGGGATGTGGGCCCTGGAGAGGGTGAAGAAGGCCAGGATCTACGAGACTGCCGAGCCCCACCACTCCGAGGTTGGCCGAAGTAGCGGATCAGACCTGGTTCCTTCGCAGCTGCACGCGAGGCGACGCTCTGCTCGAACGCGGTGTCCATCCAAATGATCGAGATCGGACCAGCTGTCGAAGCAATTGCGAATCAAGCGCGGGAGGTCATCCGAGTGCTCGACAGATAGTGCAGAGGCCCTGCGACCCGCATGAGGCGCCAGCAGGTCGAGAGCACGGGGCGCTTTGCCCACTGGCGCCGACCGCATCACCAGTTGGCCAGCGCAGGCCATTGCAGCCCTTCCTCGATCAGCTGGGCGGCCTCGCTCTGGACACCTGGATGTTCTCTTGCTCGGACAGCTTTCATCATGACCGTCCGCTGCGCATGCAACGTATTTTCTGCAGCAGGTGTTGGCGCCAGAGGGCGAGCGGGGTCAGGGCGGTCCCGCACATGCTGCTCGGCCAGTCGTTGACAGGCCGCCTACTGGCAAGCGCCCTGGCCGTATAGGGCACGGCGTGGCAGCAGGCTCCCGGGGGACCTGCCCAGTGCTCACGCAGGCGCTGCCCGCCATCGTGCCTTTTGGGGCCGCTCTGGTCGGGGGGGATCAGGGAGAGCTACGCTGGGACGACGCGCTGGTTCGCGGCTGGGAAGAGCTGGCGAGAGCAGCCGCGTTGTGGGCGGGTTTGGCCCTCGCTGCGGAGAGGGCGGCCAGCTGCGCTGGGGCGTCGGTAAGCCAGCTGCCCGAACCAACGCTAAGCCTGGAGCCATTGCTGACCAAGGCAAGCTTGCGAAGAGGGTTCGTCCAGGGGCCCCTTTCTTGCTCCTTGCCTCCCCTGCTCCCCTCATCCTTGAGTTGTCGCCATCCCTGGCCAGGCGTTCCTCCTCTGCTGGCTGCGTGGCAGCCGTCCTGCAGTGACGCGCTGTGCTCGTGGTCAGTGCGGTGGCCTGGTGCATTCCTCCTCGGAATCAAACGCAAGTTTTTCCCACGACGTGGCGACGCACCCGGTCCCCCAATTTCAATGTTGGCGCCGACACTGGCGACTGCAATTTTTCTTGTTGACCCCGCGGGCCGCGCTGCGCGCTTCCATCAACATTGAAATTCGGGGGCGAGGGGGTCGGATACAAACTTGCGTTTGATTTCGAGGGGGGCTGTAGAGGGCACGAGTGTGGTTGCGTTTTCGTGTCTGCCCTTCCCCTCTCACTTTCCATCCTCGTCCTCTTACGGGCGGCCGTCTCAGTGAGAGCTTCTTGCAAAGGTGGCGCCGCTCAGTGTTTGCTGTCGTAACTGTGACAGAATTCCCTGGATGGCTGGAGCCGAGCAGAGTTGGAGTTTCCAAGCAAGGTTGGAGGTTCCAAGCAAAATTGTGAGTTCGGAAGCAAAGTTAGAGTTTCCAAGCAAGGTTGGAGTTTCCAAGCAACGTTTGAGTTCCCAAGTGAAGACAGACTTGCGAAGAGGGCTTGCCACTGGGGGCCCTGGGGCGGCAGGCTTCTTGCCTTACCCCAGCGACCCGGCGCACACTATGGAAGGCGGTCATGGGTCGACGGCGCTGCGAGCGCGTGTGCTCGTGCGCAGGCCGTTGTGCGCGCAGGCTGAACGAGCCGCCGCCGCTTTTTTCCTCGCTGCCAGAAAGAAGATGGCGAGGTGCGCAAGGGGAGGCTCGAGGACTCGTTGGCCAGGCTGGTCAAGCGACGGCTCTACCGCAGGCCGTCTCTGAAGCAGAGGTTTCCATGTGGGCCCGCCAACGCCAGCGCCGACGGGCCGGCCTCCCGGGCGCTGACTTGCTTCGGCTCGCCATCTTGGATATCGAGTAGTGGGAGTGCACGAGGCAGCACCAGGTGGATGCTTCCGTCGCCACCAGCAGCGGTGCGGGTTGCGACCAACACCGCCCAGAGGCTGGGATGTGTGGCGTGTGGCCCGCAATGCGGGGCTTCTGCGGGCGTGTGGCGTGTGGCGTGTGGCGTGTGGCGTGTGGCGTGTGGCGTGTGTCCGAATTGTGGTGCGCTAGTGTTGGTAAGTCGGCATTGAGTCTCGCCTGGCTGTGCCCTTGTGCTTCGCCCTGAGGTATGCCCGATGGGACTCCCGTGCCAGATGTCAAGCGGGCTTGGCAGGGGTCTTGCCCTTTGCTGTATCGCCTTTTGCTTGCTAGCCTCTCCCTGGGGCATGCCCGAAGCCTCCCGTTTCAGGTATGAGGCAGGCGATGTTGGTTGGGTGGTCAAGTTGGTGCTTGTTGTGTGGTCGGTCTGGTCATGTGAGCTGGTGGATTCGCTGTAGCCGTGTACGGGTCTGTTGTGGCTGCGCTGCTGGCAGTCGCTAGTATATTTGCTTTTGCTGTGCAGGTGTTGTTGTAAACACTGTCGTTCCGCTGAGTTGTGTGGGTAGATCCGCTGTGCCCTGTCGCCATGTGGCTTGGTACATGTTGATGCAAGTCTGGGTGCAGAGGTAGGTAGCCATCAAGGTCTGTAGTTGGTGCTGCCTTGTCAAGTCGTGTTAGTGTCTTTGCTAGGACCTTCGTGATGAGACTTGACAGCTCTGCAGGTATATTGTAGCTTCCTGAAGTCGGAGTGTGTGCTGCTGGGCTGTTCATGATGCATGTGCATTTACTTCGCTTGTGCCTCTCAGTAATTGCGCTTACTGGTAGTGGCAGTAGTCTGGTTGGTGTCTTGATTTGTTTGTTGGAGGTGCATGTGTCGAAACATGTATGGAGTGTGCAGCTGGCTAATTGTCGACGTTGCGGTATCTGCCAGATGTTTGGGGGATTTGAATGCCACCTTGGTTGCTTGTTAATTGGTACGGCGGGTGTGTTCGTGTATTTAGTTGTTCCCAGTAGCAATATCGCGTTTTGTCTTCTCCTGTTGGCTACGCGTGTTCGTATAAACTGTTCTTTGGGTGGTTGGGAGTCCCTCATATTTGAGTGGGATACGGTGTGCAGCACAGGCTGGCCAAGTGTCTTCTGGTGGTTTGTTTCTTGTGTCTGTTACTTGACCTTGCATGGTTCTCTGTGGCCACGTGTCCGTAACTTCTGGGATCGCAAGGTGAAGCTGTGAGTGTGCACCGTGGCCAACGCTGATGCACGTTTATTTGTTGGTGATTGGGTTCGTCTCTAGCTGGTGCCGTAAGTCGTTATGTTGTTGGTCGTCTTGGAGCAGCAGTCGTATGTAGGCTGGTTTCTTCTTTGTGTCGCTGGGAGGTTGTCGGTGGGCTGCTCTGCTGTGATAGTGGTTGTGGGTGGTATGGCAAGATCATGTTGAATGCGAGCTTGGCGTTTGTATCCTCCTAGGAAAGCTGCTGGTCTCGTCGCTGCGTTTGCTCGTAGACCTTTGTCCTTGTTGGCTTTGCTTTCTGTGCTGTTGTGCGTTGTCGTGCCGCTTCAGAGTCAGGTGGTAGTGCTGGTGCGTGTTGCATGTAGTAGTTGTTACATCTTGCCACTCTGGATCGTAAGTGTGTCAGTAGTCTTTGCCTGGCGTGGAATTGCTTCTTGCAGCATTGACAGCTGCTACGTTCCCCTCTATGAGTAAGGTCTTCATGTTGTGGGTGTTTTCTCGTGTGGTGAGCTCTCCGGTCCCCAATGGTCTGAGATGTATGTCCGGATTCGTAGCAGATCTAGTGCTGCGTTGTTGTCGTCGTAGTCGAACTGGCTCATGTGTTGTTGCCGGATGGTGGTGCGTAGGTTGTCGTTGAAGTGACCATGTTCTCTGCATTAGGCTCTGTCGATTTAGTTCGTGTAGTACTTGGGTGCATCGTGGGCAAGCTCGAGCATTCTTGCAATTTTCCAATATCGTTGTGGGTTTTCCGTTTTGGTGGTAGCGGTGACCAGCCAGTTGATATCCGTTGTGATTAAGTCAATCCATGTTGAGGGTCTCCGGAAGTCGATGGTTGTTGGCGTTGCTGCTCGTGATTGACATCGATCAGACATAGCGGTATGTGTGGTGCGTTTGCTACCAGTCTAGCTATTTACTTGAGTCGTCGTGGTCTGAGCCCTGTTTGGTAGTTAACTCGCTGTGCTATTAGTAGTAGTCGTTGGTCTATGACGTGTGATGCTTGTTGCTGTTGTAGAAAGTGTGTCTTCGTAGCGCTGCGGTATGCTTGGCTGCGAGCTGTGTTGAATTGTGCTGTCGTCGTCGGTGTACGTGTGCTCCATGTTTGTTCTTGGCAACATAGGTAGCACTTGGCGAACATGTTAGCCAGTCGCATTTTCATGTCTGTCCTGAGGCAGTCGTTTTCGGAATGAGTTGCCTTGAGTGGTGCTAGTGTTGCTCTTTGTTTTGTGATTCGGTGAGCTGTGCGAGCAGTGGCCGTACATGCTGGGTTGAAGTGAGTGCCGAGGTAGTCGCAAATGTGTGTAATGCACCTTCTTCTCCTCCTCTTCTTATTCCTTCGCGCCCGCCCGTTCGCGCGAAAGACTGGACTCTTCTTTCGTTCGTCTCGTGCTCTTGGCCGCCCTTTCTTTCGGTCGGTGTCCCTCCTCCTCTTCTTCTTCTTCTTCTTCTTCTCTTCTTCTTCTTCTTCTTCTTCTTCTTCTTCGTCTTCTTTGTCTTCGGATAGGTCGGGGGCATGCTGCTCACGCCCCACGGCCGCGCTCTCGCCCCTTTCGACAGCCCTGTGAGCTGTGAGCACGTAGCGGCGTTCCCCCATCGCTCTCCGCGCTTTTCCCACCTCGTTTGGGGGGCCCGAGTCGCCACGAGCTGCGCAGGTGGCGTGGCATGGCGTGGCGCAGTAGGGAAGCGGAGGAGCAGGAGAAGGAGGAGGAGGAGGAGGAGGAGGAGGAGGAAGATTCTGTGGCAAATCATGGGAGCCCTGCGTGTCTCCTAAGTTCCGTCTTTAGCGTCGATGAGCGTGGATTAGCATCTGGGAGTTGTGAGATAGCGCCAATTTGGCGTCGATGAGCGTCGATTCGCGTCGGTTTAGCGTCGATCAGCGTTGATTTAGCGTCTACTAGCGCTGATTAGCGTTGATCTAGCGTCGACTAGCGTTGACCAGCGTTGATTTAGCAAGAGCCGACGAGATGGTACGGGTGGCTCCCATGAGTTGCCACCGGAGGATGGGGGAGGGTGAGGATGATGAGGATGAGGATGAGGAGGAGGAGGAGGAGGAACAAGAGTAGTAGGAGGAGGAGGAGGAGGAGGGAGGAGGAGGGAGGAGGAGGAGGAGGAGGAGATGAAGGAAGAGGAGGACGATGAAGAGGAGGAGGAGGAGGAAGTGGACGAGAAGGAGGAGGAGGAGGAGGAGATGAAGAAAACGAGTGATGAGGAGCAAGATGAACCATGTCAACGACCAAGAAATTTTGCATCGAGGCCCCATTTGACAATCTAATTCAGATATTCGCTTCTGTATGCAATAGTTCTCCTTGTGTCTCTATCGTGCGCCCCGTGTGCGCTGTATCATGACAAGTAAGCCACATTGGGATAACCAACGGACCACACCGCGAAATGTCGTCTGACCTGTGTAGCCAGGCCACTGACGCCCTTCCATCTCGTCCTGTACCCCATGCGTTCTGTGGCAACGTCCGTTGTCAAGGGAATCGCCGCTTAATCTGCTGCTGCTCGGCATCGCTGCAGGAGTCCCAGTGTTCGGAGCGAGAGAGCGCCGCGCAGACCGTAGCTTGGTGTTTGCAGGGCTCTGTGGGTACTGGGCTAGCTGCTTCTGCCTCCTCCCCGCCCCTCCCTGGAAAAGGACATAGAGCACATCGAGGCAGGCCACATGTGGATGCACTCTGAGGAGGCGCCCATCCAGTGATGTAGGGGGCAGGGGGGGGGGAGGACATCTGTGCATGTATTTTCGCGCTGGCCACGATGGTCATCGCCGTCGCGCGCCGATCTCAACGAACTTGTTAGTTCGAAGACGGGCTGACCAATCGGGGACCCCAGTTTTTTTGTCAACTTGTAGGACGTTCGTGATCTGATTTCTTGTGTTTGTTCGTTTGTTTGCTTGCTTTGTTCGTTTGCTTGTTTGTCTGTTTGATTGCTTGCTCGTTTTTTGGTTTGTTTGTTTGTTTGTTTGTTTGTTTGCTTGCTTGTTTGTTTGTTCGTCTGTTTGTATGTATGTATGATTGCTTGCTTGCTTGTTTGTTTGTCTGTTTGTATGCTTGTATGTTTGTATTTTTGTTTGTTGGCTTGTTTGCTTTTGTGTGTGTGTGTGCCTGTGTGTGTATGCTCGCCGCCTTGCGCAAATCATGCGACAGCTTGCGTCCCTTGCTGTATTCGCTACGGTGGCGTAACCAGGCCAGCGGAGGAAGAAGTGTGTGTGTGTGTGTGTGTGTGGCCTGGCCCGCTCGCCGCCGTTTTTCCCCTGGCGGCATGGCGCAGGTGGCTTGGCCAACCAAGCGCATCACGCTTGGCGGCCACGCTCGTTTGCACGATGCGAGCGACGGGCCGCAGTCTGCACCGCTCTCACGCCAGCGTGCTGGGTGCGGCGGCTGCTGGCTCCATGCTTATTGCCAACCTCATCGCTCTGCTCGATCTTGCGTCCTCTGGGTCTCCTCGCGGGTCCGTCGGGTCTCCCACCTGTCGGCTCCTGCTTTTCCGCCACACTCGCGCGTTTCTGCCCTCACCGAGGTCTGTTCTGCTTCTGCACGACTTCGGGGCTCGCCTGCGCCGCCCACTCAGTCGGGTGCTGTTTCTTCTGCACCGACCCGTCCTGCGCAATCCCCTGCCTGCAACGCCTTGGATTTGTCTCAGCGCCCCTACCTATCACTCGTGATGGTGCCCCCACCTTGCCGGAGGAGAAAGATTGTGTGTGTGTGTGTGCGCGCAGTCAGCTTAGCGCACTCCTCTAACGCCCTCGCTGAGTTGGACCAAGCGGCCGCGAAGTTCAAAGTGTGTGCGTCCGTGCTGGCCGCTGTCTGGCCAAGCCCAGTCCGTGCAGCGTGACGCGTCTGTTCTGCTCGGCGGAGAGTACGCGAGCGCGGCGTTTTGGGAAAGTCGCCGCCCGCCCCTCTTACCCTTGGTGGTTTTCTGAAAGCCATATGCGAGGACTGGTTCTCGCCCAAAATTTCGCTCGTCGCCAGTGCAATGAAGAGCGGCGTTGGTTCCCCGAGTCGGCCCCCTGATTGCCCTGGCGCTCGCGAACCACCACGGCCTCGCGCGCGCGATCGAGAATTGCCAGAAGCGCAGCGAACCAGCGAAGATCTGCTGCCGCAGCAGAGAAGGAAAGTCACCTACGCTGGAGATGCCCGAGGGGCGGGAAATGTGGACACGCGGATGAAGCGGTAAAAAGGCAGGCCCACTGAGCCGCATATCGCCGCACTCGTGGCCATCCCCCCATGCAACTGATAGCCAGGCCTCGCCGCAACGATCGTTTGTTTTGCATTGAATCCGAGCTGCTGGACAGCTGCAGCACGCACGACAAGAATGCGCTGCGAGATTGGAGAACCAGCTACCATAGCGCTCTTCGCAAGGCAATTGTGCTCGGCGGGCGGGTGGCCATTGGCAGGCCAGGCGAGGCGGCGGTCTTTGACAAGACGCAGACGGGCGATCGCATAGGCACCCGCATCCGCACCGACAGGCACTGCGCGAATCCAGGCAGCAAGCCAGCGAGACGCGGTCGCGCAAAGGCTGCATGCGCGGGCCACCTGGAAGAAGCCCGCTGCCGCGGGCGTTCTTCGAAAGCCCGCCGCGGCCATATTGCGTACGTTGTAAAGGTTTGTTGCCTCGGGGATGCAATCATTGCATAATTTGTGGGGGTTTGTGGCCTCAGGGACGCGAATCTTACATATTTTGCAATGGATTATGGCTTCAGGGACGCGAAGACGGCATGATTTGCTAAGGTTTGTTGCCTCGGGGGCGCAATAATTAAGTAATTTACAAGGCTTTGTGGCTTCGGGGACGCGACCATTGTGCAATTTACGAGGAGTTCTGGCATCAGGGGCGCGAGTCTCATGTATTTTGTAATGTCCTACACCACCCTCGGGAATTCAGACAATGCGATTTGGGGGTGGTGAATTGCTGGTTTGGGGCTCCCCCCCTCGCGCGGACTTCAACAACTTACAGTAGGAAGCGGAAAGCACAATTGTAACATTGGAGCCTTAAAGCTGCAACTGGTGCAGGGAGCAGCAACTCTCACCCTACAGCCTGGTGGCCCCACAAGGGGGCCGGCGGGTATGTGTATGTATGTATGTATGTATGTATGTATGTATGTATGTAGGTAGGTAGGTAGGTAGGTAGGTAGGTAGGTAGGTATGTATGTATGTATGTATGTATGTATGTTTGTAGGTGTATATATATATACACAAACGTGTTTGAGTGTGGCCCCACCCTGCCGTCGCCGCTAGGTGCTGCCGCTGCCGCATGTCTCCTATTTGCGCCCACCCCGCCGCCTCTAAGTGGGTCGCCTGCGACGTCTTCAACCATTTGTTTTTTTTGTTTACCACGCATGCCTCCGCACGTGCCCAGCGTCGGCTTTGGCTGCATCCGTCAATCGCTTGTACGCTGGCCTCCCATCGACACACGGTCGGTTGCAACCAGCTTACTGCATCCCGCTAATGCTTTCGCTGTGTTGGATCCGCTGGCCGCGAGGCACAAAGTTAGCGTGCGTGTGTGTGTGTGTGTGTGTGTGTGTGTGTGTGCGTTTGTGTAACCGTTTTCTTCCACGCCCGCCCGCTCGCCCAGCGCAGCTTTCCCACCCGCGAAGTCGTGTGAATTTCATGCAGTCTGCATCCCGTTCTAGC